TGCTAAGACTTCATTCAGTTCGGAAATAAGCTTTTGAACCAAAAAATAGATAATAGATGCATGTTGAAGAACAAAAAAAATAGGAACAAAAATCGAATTGATCATTGGAGATTTGAGAGTAACCATACTTTAGAGATAAATTCAATTAGACCTTAAAGAACAAAAATGACACCTTAGTTGTAACAATTTTTTGCTTGTTTACAGATGACATTGTTGATGTAATCTCTAACATTTTTCAGCGTAAGCTTCTTCTCGAAAACTTCCATATATGTTAGTGATTTATACTCTTAAAACGCTAGTTTTTTTCTGTATCAAAATCATAGCATCAAACCAAACTGAAGAATGATAAGTACTAACTAAGTATTGTAATAATATTATTAATCCGGAAGATTCAAAAATTGATTATTATTTTTTTTTTTAGTTTGTCGTATTCTTTTTTTTTGTAATTTGCATATTATCTGATGATGTTTTGTTTTGTGAATATAAAATTTAAATAGTTTGAATAATTAGGAAGAATTTTATTGTATTATTAGTTATATTTAAATTTCAAATTTTATCATAATAATATAATATTTTGCTATTTTTATACTTTGTATAATTAAAATTATATATATTTTTGGTTAATTTTAATTTAACTGTAGTAGCACCTGCTGGTTAACCAGTCATAAAACTTTTGCAAACGCTCTAATTTTTAACCATTAAACAAGTTATTCAAAATGTTTCATAACGCTTGAAACCGCAACCGCCCGTTTCCGCAAACTCTCGCATTCATAACCGCAAACTCTGTGTTTAAATCAGCCAGGCTCTTAATCATTTATTTTGGTTAGGCCTAGGCCCATATATTTGTTCTGCTGATATAGAGAGTGACGTGGAAAAATAGAATGTTATTATTGGTTGATGAAACTGAGCTGTATTATTTGAAATAATCTACATTGGCTGACAATTTTTATGATGTGACAGTATGAGAACAACTGAAAAAGCTGATGTGTCAAGTCTGGAGAGATTCTTAGTGTTTTTATTGTATTGATTTTCATTTACAAACTTAAATTTTGAAATAAAAATGAGTATATAAAATGTGTTTCATCTATATCCCTCTGGTAATTTATTTCTAAATCGTTTCTAATTGTAATTTTCTTTTTGAGATAATCTCTATAATATTTTTGAAGTACATTTATAATCGGGTGGATTAAATTGTGATTCGACAAATTTGGTACTGACCCGGTAACAAATTTACTTCAATCCCTTACATATGATATTTCATATTTAACAATATAGATATTTAGAAGATTTGGTTAAGATTTAAAATTATGATTCTCCTATGATTTTTTTTTTTGTTTTTTAACATTGTTGAATCATCATATAATACATAAAGTATAGAAATATCTCAACTTTTTTTCTTCGTATATATTATGACTCGAAATTTTTAAAACGGACATATATTACCCAATTGATAAAAAATGTGTGTTTATCGTCCCACATCAACTCAAATGATTAGCCAAATAGTTTGCAATATCATTTTCCATAAATTTATAATTACACATTTATGTTATAAAATATGACCATTAAAAAGAAAAAAAAAGATTTTTAGAAAACTAATTCAAAGTTTTGCTATGATGAGATTGTTTTTATATTGATTTATTTGTTTTGTTGATTTGTTTTTGCTAATAACATTTTTAATATTGTTTGCTTGATTTAACTTCCTTAATTGCATTTAATAATTACTACTAGAACAATAACTATATTTGAAGTAATACCGCATTCTATTACATCGAATCTCTAGTTAGGTTTCTTACTTGCTTGACGGTAAATGTAATATCACCAAAGTTAAAAAAATTAATATAGTTTTAGCTTGTATATAACGTTATAGTCCTAGTAAATTTAAAAAGAATCTTCTTTTAAAAAAAATCTTATAAACCAAAATTCAAGACATTTATCTGCACATTATCCTTGAATGTATTGTTATATTTAATTCGTTAAATAATGTTTAAAAGAAAATAAAATACTTTAGAACTGAAACCACTATTTTAAAACAATAGTGTTTACTCAACTTTCATTAATAACAAAATAATACGTTTATTAGTACAATAACTCCTTCGTAACATACTTTTTTAAATAAGAAGATATAAATATGACACAATCTAGTTTTTAATTACTTTACAACAAAAACAAAAACTTTAAAAATTAGAAAAGATATTTAATTTAATTTTTCTCTGATATTATTGAATTTTCTAATAAGAATTCAAGATCTCAGACGTCCAAAACTAAAAGTACTCGGTTTACTCCGATTCTTTATTTCAAAGAATGGAAACTCCAAAAAAGTGTCAAAATATTATAAATATTTAACCTTTATACAACAGCTGAAATCCTATAATTGACGGGTTTAGGTCGATAATAAAACAGAACATTATACTACGGATGATATCCTAGAATTAACGATCAAAATATAATTATACAATCTTAAATACTAAACAAAAACAAATATTAACAAAAAAAATAAAACTTATTTTTATTAACTTTTTAAAATACATCTCAATTATCTTATAGAACTTTTAAATATTATATTACAGATGAAATCTTAGAATTAACGGATTTGGGTCGATAATAATATGGAACGTTATAATATAGGTGAAATCTTTGAATTAACAATCAAAATATAAATATATAATTTTAAATACTAAACAAAACAAAAACTATTAACAGAAAAAATACAACTTAAATTTTATTTTATGAAACACATACGATTCTTTTATAAGAAGTTTAAACATTTGAACTTTATACTATGGGTGAAATCGTAAGATTGACGGATTTAGGTCGATATTTATACATGATTGTGTACTATAGATGAAATTAACAATCAAATACAATTATACATTCTTAGACACTAAACAAAATAAAAAAATTATTAACAAAACAAATATAAATTAAAATTTAAGTTATAAAATATTGTCTCGCTATGTACCATACATTTAATTAAACAAACTAATAACATATAATTATAAATCATCTTAAAAACAAAAATTCAATTTTTTTTTTAATAAAATATAGATCCACGATATATCGCGGGTTAATATCTAGTATAGCTTTGTACTCCTAGTAAATTTAATAAGAATCTTCTTTTAAAATATTTTTATAAGCCAAATTTTAATACATTTAGCTACAAAGTATCCTCGATGTATTGTTATAATTTTTAAATGTTGTAAAGAAAATAGAATACGTTATAAATAAAAAAATTACTTGAAAACATAAGTGTTTCCTCATCTTTCATTAATAACAAAATAAGACGTTTATTAGAACAATAACTCTTTCGTAACATATTTTTGATAAGAACATATAAATATGACACTATCTAGTTTTTAATTACTTTATAACAAAAAACAGAACTTACAAGATTTGCAAAAGATATTTAATATATTTTTTCTCTGATATTATTAAGTTTTACATTAAGAATGAAGATAACTATTTTGTTTTTAACTCTTCTAGTTCTTTCTTCCTCATGTAAGTCTAAATTTATTTAATTAGGATCTTATGTAATATATATATATATATATAAAATTTATTTCTTAAATTGTAATTTAATAATTTCAATATATTTTGGAAATTTTATAGGTACATCGATAATTACCAAAACAATGAATTCAAAAGAGACAATATATCTTGATAACCCAGCCGTGAGTCCTTCAATTGATCAAAATCTAGTGGATATACATCTTGGGCACTCTTTTGTTCAAGGCGTAATGAGTTTTTGTTATGACTGCGGAAAAGCTTGTTTTAGAAGGGGTAAAAATCTTGCTAGGTGTCAAAAGTTTGTTTGTCGTTGCACTATCAGTAAACTTAGATAAGAATCGTAATTTCTTTGTAAAATTTATAAAAAAAAAATATTATTTAATGTTTTTCTATGATTTTTGTTTACTTTGTTGAACATAGATAATAATGTGAAAGTTACGCACATGACATGGTGTTTGTGTAGTAAAATAAACTAAAATGATTTACTTAGCATAGATGATGAAAAATTATTTTTTTTTTTAGAGTTTTTATTAGGATTTAGAAGAAATATCTAACCTGATTTATGAAACTGATGTAGACAAAAACCATGAGGTCAAAGTATAAAATAAGTTTAGATTTTTGTTTTATTAAAAATTAAAACCCTAATTTAGACCGATTGGTTTGATGAACTTGTTCATATAAAAAAAACTTAGATCTATGTTGTTTCCTTTTCTTTCATCTCACAAAAATCATTGATCCGGTTAAATTCTACATTCTTTCCTCTCATACAAAATCAGTAATCCCTTTTGCTGCCTTTTACACCAACTCTGCCAAGTTTTTTTTGGTTGAATTTTCATTCAAGCCAAGTCGGATAGCTCAATTTCACTGCTACAAATTATGTTTAACGACTTAAACCTAAATGTTTGTTTTTTTTGTTTTTCAATTTCTCATTTGTGGTTAACGTTTATAGTTTGGTTTAATTCTTTAGATGCGATAATTATGAAATGATGAAAACATTTCTAGATATTTGCTCTTCCGAACCGAAACAAACAAGACTCCAATTTCAGATCAATTTGGTTACATTTCTACAAAACTGAACCAGTTACTATCTTTTAAAACTCTATAATTATTATTTGTAAAATAAATGACAATTCTTATTTAACATAAATTGATATATGAAATTATATGTATTCGCTTATTTTTAGAAGAAAAAAATACAATTTGTAAACAAAATGACTTGAGAAATATCTTAGGGATCAATAAGCAGTCTAAATATAAAAGTTTTATATATGGAAATAATTTGAATCAATAACAAATAGATGATCGACAAAAAGCAATAACAACTCTATAGAAAATAGTACACGACTTTGTAAGATGAACAAGAATAAGGATTGGAAATTGTCCAACTAATTTACGACTCCTAAAGACGGGTATAAATGTTTGCAAAATACTTTCAAACTAGCATATTCACAAGGGTTTTTATAGGGATGTCAAAATGGGTAACCCAACTCAACTCAACTCATAATCAAATGAGTTTAAGGTTAAATAAGTTATGGGTTGACCCAACTCATTTTGTTAAATGAGTTGGGTCAACCATAACTCATTTAATTTGATGGACTGAGTTGTTAAATGGGTTAACCCATTTAAGTAATAATTTAATTAATTATTATTATAAAACAATAATAAATAATTATCATTATTAATTCATTATCATCAAACTTAGGATATTTACGGATTCCACTTTTTATTGGTTTACGTTTTTGGCGGGAAAATCACGGGTTTACGTTTTTGGCGGAAAAATTATAGGTTTACGTTTTTGGCGGGAAAATTACCGGTTTACGTTTTTGGCGGGAAAATTACGGATTTACGTTTTTGGCGGGAAAATCACGGATTTACGTTTTGGCGGGAAAATCACGTGTTTACGTTTTTGGCGGGAAAATCACGGATTTACGTTTTTGGCAGAAAATTATAGGTTTACGTTTTTGGTGGAAAAATTACGGTTTTACGTTTTTGGCGGGAAAATCACGTGTTAAAGTTTTTGGCGGGAAAATCATGGGTTTACGTTTTTAGCGGGAAAATCACGGGTTTACGTTTTTGGCGGGAAAATCACGGGTTTATGTTTTTTTTGTGGAAAAATTACGAGTTTACTTTTTCTCAATTTCATCGCTTGTATATTTAAGAAATTTGGAAAAATATTAATTTTATTAAATTGGTTTAGATGTGTTGGTTAAACTTAAATTGGCATTGGTTTAGAGATTTTAGTTGGTTTAATTCAATTTTACAAAACTTAATGGGTTAATTGGGTAACCCATTGAAACCATTAACCATTACAACCCAACTCATTTTACTCATCAAACCAATTGACTCATCAACTCATTTGACCCATCAACTCATTTGAGTCAAAAATTTTAACTCATTAGGGTTCATGGGTTGAGTTGACCCATGAATTTTGACCCATTTTGACACCCCTAGGTTTTTAACAACCTTACAAAGCTTTTTAAAACTTGTACAAAGATTTTTAAAGAGTTTTAAAGGATTTATAAGAGGTTTTAAAGGGTTTTTAAAAATTTTACAAGGATTTATAAATGCATTTTTGACGGAATTTTATTTTTTTGGCGGGAAACAATTTTTGACGAAAAAATTTCAGTTTCTAATTATATTTTCTCATTAGGTAATGGATAATTTCGAACTATTGTTCAAGAAAAAGGGTGTCTTTAAAAATGGCCAACAAAAAAGGGTATTATTGCAAAAGGGTAATAGAAAATGGTACTTTAGCAAATCACCTAAAAAAATTTATATCGATCCAAACTTTATAATGTATTTTGATTGTTATATCTAGGATTTCACCCGTTCCGTATTATTATATGTTTAAATATTTATAATATGTAAACTTCTTATAAAGTTTAAATATTTGTAATATTTTAAATTTAATAAAAGTTTTATAATTATAAATATTTAAATTTTTTATAAAGTTTAACTTTCTAAAAATTTAAAATTTCTAATGTTTAACTTTTAATAAAGTTTAAATATTTATAATTTTTTGACAATTTTAAAAATTTAATTCTTTAAAATAAAGAACCAGAGTAAACTTGATACCACTTTTTATTTTGGATGCCTCATAAATCAAGTTTCCTGCTCATTCGTATTTAAAATCATTTTGATAATTGCTAGGATATGCCTTCCAAGACTACTCCTTATTAATTATGCCGCTTTCTATTGGCCTTTTCATTTATACCCTCGTTTAATTTTTAATGATCATTTTACTCCTATTTTGAAAACTTTTTTAGGTTAACAAAATAAAATTTTGATTTTCCTACCAAAAATATTCCAAAAATAATTTTCCCGCCAAAAACAATTTTCCGCCAATATTTCCCGCAAAAAAAATATTTTTCCGCCAAAATGTTTTTCCCGCAAAGAAAAATTAGCGGAAAATATTTATTTGGGTTTTTGAAATATTTTTAAAGGATTTACAAGGGTTTTAATCCTTTAAAACCCTTAATGCTTTAAAAATCTTTGAAAAACTCTTGTAAATCTCTTTAAAACTTTTTTGTATGGGTTGACAAGAGTTTTAAAATGTCTCAAAAAGATTTACAAATGTTTTATAATATTTAAAAATGTATTTTTTAAGAGTTAAAACATGATTTACTAATGTTTTTAAAGACTTTATAAAAGTTTCAAAAGGATTTTAAAAGCTTTTCAGAGTTGAGCTTTCCTGTAAATCCTTTAAAAACTCTTGTAAATTATTTTAAAACCTTTTACAATGGTTTTAAACGATTTATAAAGATTTTGAAATAGTTACAAATGTTTTAAAATGAGGATTAAAGTATTTACATGTGTATTAAAAGACTTTATAAGAATTTTAAGATGTTTTTAAATGATTTATAGTTGTTTTTAATAACTCTATAAAGTTTTTTGTTCCAAACCGTTGCATTCAAATCAAATCCTTAAAAGAGGAGAAACCATACAAACTAAAACAGAAAAATTACAAGGAAAGTAAAGATAAAGGCTTGAAGATTTTTTCAATGAGATGCTCAACTCTGAAAAGCTTGCAATGACGGGAATATATTTGGATGCCTGTACGGATTCAGAATTGAAGCCAACCTTCAACAAATCCAAGACCAACTTGTGGTCATAAAAGGCTTCTACGGTTAACGCATTGTCGCTTTCAATATTTCGCTCCAAAGAGGAGAAGGCTCAGATGTAACGCCCGTGAACCGGAAAATCGGTTAGGGTTTGTATTTAAATCATTCGGTTTAATTGGTTGGGTTAATTGGAAACCCTAGAGTGTGCCTATAAAAGAAGGAAACTCGAAATTAGGGCTTTAGTTAGCCATTTTTCGTTTTATAAAGGAGAAAAAGAGAGAGAAGGAGAAGAACCAGAATCGTTAGGGTTTGGGAGAAAACGGTTTCGACATATCAAATCGTGGTAAAAGTTAACGAAATTTGGTACGGTTATACCCAAGTCTTTTATCGTTATTCTCCAGTTTACAAAAGTGGATTTGGATTAAAATTGGTTGAGTTATTCGCAGTTTCGTGAGACACGTTTTCTTAGACGCGAATTAGGACCAGTGGGGATTGAAACTGCGATCGTAGTCTCATCTGGTTTCCGATCGGCACGAGTTTTTGTGGGAAGCTTTTTGACGTCTAAGGCTACCGTTTCACTAGAGGGTTTTAATAGTTAACGGTTAGTTTATATTTTAGGGTTTCGTCTTTGAGACTGTTTGTTTCTGTTTTTCATGTCCAGTTTGCTTCAAGATTGCTTTTGGTTGTGACTTGTTGTAGGACGTTTCTGGACTGTCTCAGACGCAAGGAGAGTCTCTCCTGAGTTTAATTGTAGTTAGAATCAATTTGTTAAGGTGAGTGCATGACTATGAGCTTATCTGAGCGATTGGGTTGTATGTTTTGTTTTGTGTGATGATATATAGGTGTGGTAAATGTATTTTGAGTGAATTGTTCGATGATTGGTTTGTTTGTGTTGTATTTGTGATTATACCATTTTATTTGCTTGTGTGTATAGCTCGTAGATGGGAGGATCGCCTCACTAAGTATTTATGATAATACTTACGCATCTTATTGTATTGTTGATGCAGGTAAAGATAAAGTGTGACCGTGGAATCATGGCAAGGAAGAGAGGATGATCTAGGAACTCGTTTGGTTTATTTTGTGTTTTGGTTATAGGAACCGGTTAGGGTTGTGTTAGGATTGTTAGTCATTCTTGGTTTTGTTGGTTGAATTATTTATTTATTCATAAAATAGTATTTTTAACTTACGGTTTAATTGTTATTTTATTGGTTGGTTTAATTAAGTATTTATGGGAATATTTAATTATGTTTAAGAAAAAAAACGGATCGGGTTGTTTCAATTTGGTATCAGAGCGATCACGGTTCTAGGATGTGTAGAAAAATTAATTGATGAATTATTTTCTTGATGATTGATGTGGGATGAGTTAGGATGTTAGCATACTGAGGTTTGATTATGGAGTGTTTAGTCAATTGTGTGTTGTTGGAGTCCTAGCATAATCTTCTCCGAGCCTTAAATGAGATTTCAAGGTAAGTTGTTTGTGATATATTTGTTTGTTCTAGTTTCTTAGCTTTTTGTACTTGAGTAGCGCAGATGGTTAGAGAAGCTGGAGTTCGTGGTCGTGGTCGTGGTCGCGGTAGAGGACGAGTCCTCGAGGGTACCGGCGAGAGTGATGGCCACAATGTCACAGTTGAGCAGAGTGTGGGTTCGCAGCCTGATTGTGTGGAGCCCGGAGCTGGGGACGGTCTTGGTGCCGATATAGCTAGTGTAGCTGGAGTGAGGGCTGGTGGAGCTGGTGTCGATACCGGTGTGCATGCCGTTGATGGTGAGGACCCAGGAGTGATGGGTGGCGCAGCCGGAGGAGCCCAGGTTGCAAAGGTTGGTTTGGCGGGCCTACTGAGGCAGTTGTTCGAGCGGTTACCAGGTGTCGTACTAGTGCAGGGTCCAGTTGCGCCACGAGTGGTGGAGGTGCAGCAGAGGGCTGCGGTTGCTGAGGAGGTTCCATCTTATTTGAGGATGATGGAGCAGTTGCAGAGGATTGGCACCGGTTATTTTTCTGGTGGTACTAGTCCTGAGGAGGCCAACAGTTTGGCGGTCGCGGGTTGAGCGGAACTTCGGTTTGAGTCGATGCCCGGTTGAGTATCGGCTGGATCTGGCAGTGCATTTTCTAGAGGGGGATGCACATTTGTGGTGGCGGAGTGTGACTGCTGGGAGGAGGCAGGCGGATATGTCTTGGGCAGATTTCGTGGCTGAGTTGAATGCCAAGTACTTTCCGCAAGAGGCGCTCGACAGTATGGAGGCGCGTTTTCTTGAGCTGATACAGGGTGAGCGGTCGGTTCAAGAGTATGACCGGGAGTTTAACCGACTTTTGGTGTATGCGGGTCGAGGCATGGAGGATGACCAGGCCCAGATGAGGAGGTTCTTGAGGGGACTTCGACCGGATTTGAGGGTACGGTGTAGAGTGTCGCAGTAAGCCACGAAGGCGGCATTGGTGGAGACAGCTGCTGAGGTAGAGGAGGACCTTCAGAGGCAGGTGGTGGCAGTGAGTCCAGCGGTACAACCGAAGAAGACTCAGCAGCAGGTGGCACCTAGCAAGGGCGGCAAGCTTGCGCAGGGACA